TGGAGTTCCCCACAAACTAGCAGGGAATCCAGTCTATGTCAGATGTTTTTGAAATACAGAAATTGGACCCATTTTCTTTTTGAGAAAAAGAAAGCCTGGTGATCAGAAAGTTATGTCTTTGTGTCCTATACAAGTCTGGGCAACATTTCCCCTTCCTTAACAAAACGATACTCGTTACCAGTTCACATGTGGATTATTCATCACTTCTGTATAAAGGAGGAAAAGGAATGCTGTTCCACAGTGTCAAGAGAGCAACAGTTTTCCAAATGCAAGTATAATTTTTTCCTTAAAAATACACTGAATTCTCAACTCTAACAGGTCGAGAAATAGATTATAATCAGTTTCTAACAGGGAATGTAATCTTTGGATGGTTTGTATAAGCATACAGCATGTGAGAATATATATACAAGTACTTAAGTTAGTCTGCTGTTTTTGCAGATTTCTTTGGCTGTCTCTTGGTCTTTGCACTGATTTGTCTTGCATTTTGGAAAACATTTGAAACATATAAATAACCAACTTCCCTCTGCCTTCTTTCCATGTGGCTTTTCCAAGTGGGATTCATCTGACATATAAAGTCTAGGATTCACACTATACTTTTCCTCTGGAAATTAGTTATATATAAGACAGATTTGTACGCTTTTGTAAGAATGAGGTTTATTCTTAATAAATATTTTAATACATACTTTTGAACACCCAAAATTGTCAGGAATTTCTCCAGACACTTAAGATACCTTCCTTGGTGGAGTTTACATTCTGCAGAATGAGACTGACAGTAAACATAAAAACAAAAACCATAACTGGCTTACAATGTGTTAAAGATAATAATTACTTATAGAAAAAAAGGGGTAAAGTAGAATCAAGTATGGGACATTGGGAATGTGGGGATTGTAGGGGCAGGGAGGTAGGGGGTCATTTGCAATTCTAAATAATGTGGTTAAGGCAGGTTTAAGCTAATCCTTGAAAGAGGCGAGGGAATTGGTACTTCAAGTATGTGGAGGCAGAGAGTCCAAGGCAGAGGAAAGCACTCCTGTGAAGACTTGGCCCATCTGAGCCGCACCATAGAGACTAATGTGGCTGGAGTGGAGTGAGCCAGGAGGAGAGGAGAAGGAAATGAGAACAAAGGAGGAATGGAGGCCGATCACATAAGACCATATAGGCCACTGTGAAGACTTTGACTTAGAGCATTAGAAAGTTGTAAGCAGAGTAATGACATGATCTGACACATGTTTTAAAAGAATTCCTCTGACCCGTATACTGTAGAGAGAGGAGGGGAGAACCAGGAAAACCAGATCAATGTCTAATGCAGTAATCCATGGGACAGATGTTGGTAGCTCAGAACAGGGTGTAAGTGGTGAGATTTTGGATATGATCTAAAGGCAGAACCAACAGGATTTACTGATGGACCAGATTTAGGGTATAGGAGAAGGTGATTCCAAAGTTGACTCAGGTTTTTAGCCTGAGCAGCAGGAAAGCCGGTGCTGCCTCAGTTGAGTTAGGGAAGGACACAGCAGAAGCAGGTTTGAGGAATCAAGTGGGTGCTCAGTTTGGGGTATGCTGAGGTTGAGATGTCTACTTGGACATCCAAGTGGAGATGTTGAGGAGAAGCTTAACATATATCTGGAGTATATATAAAGATATATATGAAGAGATCTGGGCTGGGGATTTAAATTTGGGAGTAGTCAACTTATGGAAGGTATTTAATATTTAGCAAAGAGACTCTAAGAGGAATAAGTATTTTTCTTAGTAATTACATTTTTCTAAGACAGTCAATGTATAAAAATTATTTCTCACCTATTTAAGCTCACTTCATGATGAAGTCACCAAATAATAGTACTGCTAAGAACAGAGTACTATTACAAAGAGAAAACAAAGAGAAAAACTTGCCCAATCTGACATAGTAAATTCATAATATTGGAAATAAAATCCAGTCTTCTTATTCCTGAGATGTTTCCACTAGACCTTGGTGCTTCAGCACTGAAGAATCTATGTAAAGAAGAGCACTGATCTGAAGCAGGCATTGTCGTGTGGGGAGGAGTTAAGATGAGAATTTGCTTCACCCTCTGGGTCTGCATGTGTACTGGGTGGCAGATGAGAGGGGGGTCGGCCTAGGGATTGGCAGCCTGGATGGACATGGCAGGGGCACAGCAGACCCAAATGTGCTCCGTACCCAAGGGAGTTACAGGCCATGCAGGCAGCTTCCTAGGTGCACATCTCTTCCTAGGTGAAGCATCACTAGACATGTGAGCCATCAATAAACTGAATTTATCAATTATCATCATAGAATGGCAGGGGTTTTGTTTTGCTGTGAGCAGAGTAGCTGTTTGAGACCAGAACTCAGTAATTCTCAGGAAAGACCGAGAGCTGCCACATATGCTTCTTTTTATCAGTCAGCCTTTTCTTCAAGAGTGTTTAGCCTCTGTTTTAAATTGACAATGAGAAGGTGAGTGGGCAAATTAATAACAAGCTGGGGATGTCATTTGCCACTTGTCTTGGGCCCGCTGAGGTCACAGCTCAGATTTGGTGTGGACTGTGGTCAGAATGAAGCAGTGTGTGTGTGTGGGGAGGGGGGCGGGGCAGGTGGAGAATCATGGTGGGCAGCAGGACTCAGATGTGGGCAGTCGAATGATTGCGTACATGCAGGCCTCTAGTGGGGCAGATGTCAGGGGCTCAGTCAAGGATTCCCCTTTTCAGGAAGGGAAGAGAATGTTAGGGCTTCAAGGTCTGAGAAAAGGCAGGGAAAGGCAACTAACTTTTAGTGATTAGTTACTATATTCATGATAGTGTGTTAAATAGATAGATACATTTATAGAGAAATGATAGATATATTTCTTTTCATTCTTACAATAAATCTGAAAGTATTATCATTTCCTTTTGCAAATGAGGAATGTTAGACTTGCCCCCAAGGTCACACACTGATCCGAGGTAGAGAGAGGTAAGACTCAAATTTAGGTTTGCCTCACTCCCAAACCCACAAAACCCTTACACTTTTTAGAATTTTGGAAACAAGAACCAGAGTAGAAACATAAGGAAATGTAGAGGAGTCCATGAGGAGTGTGTTTGTGCGTTAATACATGTTGGCTGCCGTCTTACTGGACTAGAGTGGAGTGGATTGAGAGGAAGTGGGTAAAAGCAGAGTCCCATGCGTCCATAAAGAGAAACTGCAGGCTGAGCCTGCCCTGCTGTGAAGGATGACCTGAGACACAGCATTAGAGTCCAGAGGTCTCTAACAGGAAGTAACTTAGTTCTACCCCCTTAAATGGGGCACAGAAGCAGTTTAAACTCTTTTTAACTAAGTCAAGGTGAACTCATTGAACTACAGGATGGAGACATCAGTAGACCAGTTGTGGAAATCCAGGGTAAACAAATCAGAGGGCTGATGATTATGGTGTGATTCTGTAGATGACATTTGGACTCTGAGATGAAGCAATTTTGCTCAAGAACGTGTAGCAGCAGCAGAGTGCCCAGTGTGCAGATTCATCTCTTACTCAGCCTAAAGCCCTATCCACCATGACTTGGGGTCACCTCCTGGCCGTTTTTGGTCCTCTTTCTCTCTAATAACAGTGATATTGACTCCTATAGCTTTCACTTTCCTTTTCTTCAAATAATCCTCTTGAATGTAAATAATCTGGAAAAGAGGTTATTAAAACAAGGGTTTGGCCACAGCCACTTTGCCCCCTTGGGAACTGGGGCACGCAGGGGGAAAACAGGAGAGAAACCAGGTTAAACAGCATCAGAAATTTTTAAATGGTATCAGATGGCCCTGGACAGGTTCTTAATTGTCTTGTGCCACACATTCCTTCTCTGTATCCTGGGAATATCATTAGTATCCCCTTTATAGAGATGTTTCAATATTGAAGTGGGATAATACATATTAACTATTGAGCTCAGTGCCTAGCTGAGTGGTTACTTGTAGTTTAACATGCCAGCACTCAAAATATCAGCTCTTATTAAAGGAGGCAGGATGGAAGGTGATTTACTCCTACATCCAGTGTCATTTTGGAGATAGATGAGATCAGGCTCTTCTAATGATATATGTGTTTTATGCTTTATAATATGGATGTTTCAGACCATTCAGCTATACTCACTAGATTTCTTGGAGTTTAGTTTAAACATTCTCATCAAAGTTAATGTAACCTTATTGCCACCAACTATTGATGATAGCCTTGTACTGAGTACTACCAAAATAATATTACCTTCTCACAGCTGCTTCCTACAAATGGCATCAGCTTGATCTTATAAAACCAATGCAGGAGAAAATATTATGTCAAGGAGGAAAATATGATCAATTTTTAGGGCAGTGAGCAAAATAAAATTTGAAAAAGCCAAACCTGAGTAGCATACAGATACATTTAATTTATACCTTTTCTTCCCGGGAACATCCTCATTTTCTGGTTATGAAACCACTTGGACTCATTTTCTAGACTTTAGTATAAAACTTAAAAGAATACAGGAGCCTTCCTCTCTTGTTTTGATAAGGAAAAGGGCTGACTTTATGTAAAGTAGTCTGCTTTTTGTCAAAAAACTTCAGGGACTCATCTGTGAAATGTAGCCTCACAATAAGTGCACCTTACTGATCTTCTTTCAGCTGATGTAAGATCATTTCCCACAGTATAGAATACTTAAAACAAAAAGTGTTTCGTCACAATGCCAAAACTCCGGCAATGTCTTTCACTGCCTTCAGGGGTGTTGGCGGAGGTGGAGAAAATAGCTTTTCAATACTCCATTATTTTTAGATGATTTTGCACATTCCCAGGGAAAGTGCAAATGAATGCAGATAAGACTGATGAACTAAATTTAGGACTAGCAATTATAGACATAGAGTTCTGAGCTTCATTTTGCTCTTCTGTAATTTGTAATATGTGTAAAAGAAGATACTAACTAGCGACAGCATAAAAATTAATATGAGTAAAATTTTTGACAATGTCTAACACTTTAGAAATGTATCTCATTATTCTGACTGTATTAATTGGGGTTTCTTTTCTTTTCCTCCTGTATTTCAGTGACTATTTCAACAAGCACCTTTTTTGATGGCTTGCTGGTGACAGGATTATACACATCTACAAGTGTTCAGGCTTCACAGAGCATTGGAGGTTCCAATGCTTTTGGATTTGGTAAGCTATCCTGACATAAGAAATCAATAATTGTTAATGTTTTATTCAGTTAGACATCTTATTTTTGAAATAATCTGTTTTAAAATATTAGGCATTTATTATTTCAGAGAAAATAACCTGAAGTGACTTTTGTGTGTTTGCTTTTGAAGTTGGGTGATTTGACATAAGTCATGTAAATGTACAGCCAACAATGCATGATCTTGTTGTGACCATCCGGATCCTTCTTTCATCCTTTGCCACTATTACACTTGGCCCTGTGGGTTCATGGAATATTCTCTGTGCCATCATTTAAGTTGCTAGAATTGGAATTCACTGTGATGCCCATGCAATTATTCAGTATCCTGAATAATTTTTTATAAACAGTTCCTGAAATCCTGGAGTAGGTGAAAAGTGTCATGTTAAGTTTGGCAAGTGAACATTCATTATTACAAATGGAAGATAGTAATTGTTTAAATGATTGAATTCCATGAGTATTTATAAAAGAATGTGATTTAATATTTAAGGCATTTATATGGAGTCGTTGCCCTTAAATCAGAGGCATGGTAGGTTACTTATGTGGACAGACTGAAGGCTACACAATGGTAATTGATATTTCAATTTGGAAACCTCTGCTTTACCCATAGTGCTGTAAAAAAAGGAATCAAGTAGACCTGTTAAAGCATCAAAAATGCAAATTTACTATATTACTTTATGTAAAACATGAAATCCCTGATTTTACTCTAATATTGGAAAACTGTACAAGACTTCCTGCATTGATGTGAGAAGAATTGCATTAACAAAGGTGGTCATATATTCAAAATTTTATTTTTTCTGGGGTATTTATTAAATAAATAATTTATACTACTTTTGATATATGAAAGAGTACCTCTTCTGTGTCCAGTCCCAGTTCTGTCCAAGTGACTTGCTGATTGATTTCAGAGTAATAATGTTGATGCTACATTGTCAGTCTGCTGGCCCAAGATGAGCTAAATAGCTTAGAGCTTGAAGGAATCTGCAAGTTTTTTATTCATCATGCTAAATTGTTTGACATTGAGAATTTGCCTTATTTTTAAAAAGATCCCGTATAAGCTTTACAATCTGCTGGTAACTACCTTCTAAGGGCTAATCCTCAAGAAAAAAAAATTCTCCAGCACCCAGTTATGATAAAAACACTCAGCAAAGTGGGAATAGAGGGAACATATACCTCAACATAATAAACACCATATACAAGAAACCTACAGTCAACATTATACTCAATAGGCAAAAAATAAAAGCTTCCCCCCCCTGAGATCAGGAACAAGACAAGGGTGTCCGCTTTCACCACTCTTATTAACATAGTACTGGAAATTTTAGTCACAGTGATCAGACAAGAAAAAGAAATAAAAGGTATCCAAATTGGAAAAGAGGCTACTAGACCTAATAAGTGAATTTGGCAAAATAGTGGGATACAAAGCCAATATTCAGAAATTGATGGCATTTTTGTATGCCAACAATGAAATATCAGAAAGAGGAACTAGGAAAACCATCCCACTTATTATAGCAACATGAAAAATAAAATATCTAGGAATAAATTTAACTAAGGAGATAAAAGACTTGTACCTGGAAAACTATAGAACACTGAAGAAAGAAATTAAGGAAGATACAAATAAATGGAAGCTTATACCATGTTCATGGATTGGAAGAATTAACATTATCAAAACATGCCTACTACCCAAAGCAATCTATAGATTCAATGCAATTCCTATTAAGATATCAATGGTGTATTTCACAGATCTAGAACAAATATTTCAAAAATTTATATGGAACCCAAATGATGCTGAATAGCCTCAGCAATCTTGAAAAAGAAGAACAAAGTAGGAGAGGTCACAATACCCGATATCAAATTGTACTACAAGGCCACTGTAATCAAAACAGTCTGGTACTGGCATAAGAACAGACACATAGATTGATGGAACAGAATAGAGAGCTCAGAAATAAACCCATGTCTCTGTGGTCAATTAATATCTGACAAAGAGTGCAGGAGCATAAAATGGAGCAAAAATATCCTCTTCAACAGATGGTGTTAGGAGAACTGGATTGGTAGAAGCAAGAAAAAAAAAAAGAAACTAGACCACCAACTTATACCATATACCAGAATAAACTCAAAGTGGATAAAAGACTTAAATATAAGTCATGACACCATAAAATTTCCATAGGCAGGAAAATTTCAGATATCCTATGTAGCAATATATTTGCTGATATATTTCCTAAGGCAAGGGAAACAATGGGAAAAATAAACAAATGGGACTGCATCCAACTAAAAATTTTCACATGGCTAAAGAAACCATTGTCAAAATGAATAGACAATTCATTTGCCCAAATGAATTTTGGAACTGACAATATGGAAGAACATATTTGCCAATGATACTTTGGATAAGGCTTTGATCTCCAAAATATATAAAGAACTCATGACTTAATACCAGGAAGACAAACAATCCAATTAAAAGATGGGCAAAGGACCTGAATAGACACTTTTCCAAGGAGAACATTCAGATGGCCCATAGACATATGGAAAGATGCTCAACATCATTACTCATCATAGAGGGTTTGAGGTATCACCTCACACTGGTCAGAATAGCCATAATAAACAAATCAATAAACAACAAGCACTGGTGAAAACACTGGAACAAGCACTGGAGAAAAGGGAACCCTAGTACACTATTTGTGGGAATGCAGACTGATAAAGCCACTATGGAAATTTTCTCAAGAAATTTCAAATGGAACTGCCATTTGACCCAGTAATTTTTTGCTGCTGAGAATATACCCTAAGAATCCTGAATCACTCATTCAAAAGAACTTATGCACCCTATGTTCATAGCAGCATTATTTATAGTAGCCAAGTGCTGGAAACAACTTAAATGCCAGGAAGTAAATGAGTGGATCAAAAAACTGTAGTACATCTGTGCAATGGAATACTATGCAGCAGAAAGAAAGAAGAACTACTTTTTGTGACAGCATGTATGGAATTGAAGAATATTATGCAAAGTGAAATGTCAGTTGGTGAAAAACAAATACCATATGATCTCACCTATAAGAGGAATCTAATGAACAAAATAAACTAATGAACAAAATATAACCACAGACATGGAAACATGGAACAGACTGATAATGACCAGAGGGGAGCAGTGAGGGGGCTAATGATGGAAAGAAGGTGAAAGGACTAGTCAAAGAACATGTATGAATGACCCACAGACATGGACAACAGTGTGGGAATTGACTGCAGGAGCAGGGATATGGGATAGGTGGAGGAGGAAGGCAAAGGGGGAAAAAATTGGGACGACTGTAATAAAATAATTTTTAAAAGATTAAAAAAAATTCTCAGGTGTAAAAACTCCACTTTTTTAGCCTCACCTTTTTTGCGCTCTGTAGAGGTGAAAGGTCAGTTATAATTATATAGGTAAATAATACACAGGGTGGGGAAATGGGTACAGACTTTAGTTGTTTGTATGGAAAATAATACAGTAATTGATAAATAATGATACAAAAATAAACTTTGTTTCTTGTACTCACAACTGTAAACCTACTTTTGTCCCACCCTTTATATAACATACTACACTACTACCTCTTATGTTACAACAGGACTCACTGGTAGAGTTGCCAGATTTAACAAATAAATATTTACTAGACATCCAGTTAAATTTGAATTTTAGGTATATATGTATTTTAATATAAGAATGCAATATTTAGGTTATAATGTCCCGGGTTCCATTGTAGCCCAATTAAATCAAAACCTGCGGGAGCAGGGCTTGGGCATTGGTAATTTTTAAAGATCCCCAAGTGATTATATTGGTTTTCCAGGGCTGAGAACCACTGCACTGGATTAGTCCAGTATCCAGCAGCATTTGCATCACTGGGAACTTATAAATACAGAGTTCCAGGCCTTACTCCAGACTTAGTTATTCAGCTCCTTTGGGGATGGGACCCAGTCGTCCATTTTCAATAAGCACTCCAGGTGACTGATACATACTAAAGTTTGAGAACCACTTACCTACATTAATTAAATGAGAGAGACAGACATTATTTAAATGACCGTGTAAATATGTAATAGTAAATCTTGCTAAAGACTAGCTAACTAGGAGAAGTACTGAGTGCTGGGGAAGTGTAAGACAGAGAAACTAGATCTAACCTGGGGTAAAATGGGGTGTAGTTAGGAAACGTTTTCCTGAGGAAGTGGTATTGAACTGAGATGTGAAACATGAGTAGGAATTAATTAGCTAAAGGTCTGTGGAAGTTGGTGCACAGCATACCTGAAGGAGGGAACAGCAGACCCAAAGATCTCAGGGTGGGAAGACACTGGCTACATTCTAGCTGGGTTAGACATCAAAAGGGAAGAGATAAAGCTGGATAGGAGGCCAGAGCCAGACCATTCAGAATCTTGAGAAGGGGAAGCTATTGAGGTTTTTAGGCTGAGAAGTGACTTGAACAGCTTTTCATTTTAAAAAGATCTCTCTGAGGTCAGCATGGAGAACAAGCTGTAGAGTCCAGGAGTGGATGCAGAAGGACTTATGTGACGAAAGGTTCTGATGTGATAGGGCATGTGAGGAGTCCATGTGGAGGCTGGCATTGGCCATGAGGAGGAACAGTATGTGGAGGGGTAAAAGTCAGGGCTGCGGAGTCACACAGACCTGCTTGCAGATCCATTCCCTAGTTATTTTTAGCTGTGTGCCTCAGCCAAATTGCTTCTCTAAGCTTAATTTCCTCATCTGTGAAAAGGTGATGATAATGGTGCCTGCTTCATAAGATGTTGAGCAGTCATGAGGATTAAAGGAATGTATCTGTATAAAGCCCTAGCACATAGAAAACACTGAGTAAAACTAGGTATTCCAAAATTATAAATCTTGAACCAAAGCAGGTGATTTTCTCAGTCCAGGATTTTAATAGACTTTCTCTGAGGAAAAATAAAATTGTTCTCAGGTGGAACTAATCTGGGGTTTACAGATCCATATGTTTTGAGAAGACTTGGCTGAATGAAGTAACTGTCA